GGGGCGGGAGGCACTTTGCTGACTGGAAGTTGCCGTCGCAGCCCGCGCCCCCTCCCTCCGGGGGACGGCTCGGGGCACGGCTGCCAGGCAGCTCCCCGCTGCCCGTGAGGTGCCAGGCCCCATCTCCCCGCCTCCCTGCGCCCGCCTCCCACGGGGAAGGGTTTCCTGTGTGGAAGCGAGCCACGTCCGTGGGGGCCGTGGCTTCAGCCCCCCTGCATCAGGCGGGACACGCGCTTCGCGTCGGCGATGCCCACATCCGTGGCCGCCTCGCCACCCTGCCCGTTTGTTGGGAAGCCTGGCTGTGTCCCCCAGTTGCGGGACGCTCAGCGTGTTCATGTCTCCTCTGGAGCAGAGAGAACAACACTGGTTGGCTTCGCTTCCCCGGGGCCAACTGTGGGCGAGTGGTTCGTCGCCACGCGGAGCGCAAGCCCTCCGTCCGCATGAGGGAGTCACTTGTCTTCACCTCGTTGAGGTGATTTTAAGTTAGAAAAGTAGTTCTGTCTGCAAGGTGGTTGAAGTTGTGCATGCGAGGCCTGGCGAGGACAGGCGTGCAAAAACTAGGAGCTGTGAAATCGCGAAACCTAGACCAGAAGGCATTCTCCTTTAAGCAACATCCTGGTTTAAAATGGCCCGGGAGTACCCTCAGGAAGACCCATGCGCTGGGTTTTTTCCACCTTGATATTAGGCACTGTTTGCCTGGTTTAAAATTGCCCCAAGCAGACCCCATGTGGCTTTTTTTTTTCACCCCACCTTGATCTTGTTGTTTCGTGAGGTTGTATATAAAGTTTTGTTCCTCCTGGATGTCAATATAAAGGGAGGGAAAAATACATCCCCCCGACTGGGGTGTTTGTTTTTGTGAGCCTACACATTGCATAGCTTGCAGAAACTTTTTGTGAGATCCCAGGTAGCAATAAATTGCTGGGGAGCAAGGAGGAGAATGGCGCTTGGTTAGGGATGCGCTTGTTTTCTCGTGCACACCGTTCCCCGCGGAAATGGTGGTGGTGCGGGTCTAGGTATCAACACCGAACAGCTGTAGTTCTCAGGGCCCAGTCCGGGCACGACATGCTCCCGCTTAACGTTAATTTAAAAGACATTTTAAAATTGTCATTTCATATGTACACGGAGATTGCAGGGTGACTTCTTGAATGGGAGAGAGTTCTAGTATTGTCATCTGAAGTTGTAACTTGAATTGAGCCATGTGGTGCTGAAATACTGACATTCAGCTGAGTCTTGTTTCAGTGCTTCAGCCACTGGTCGTAGTTGCCAGTGAGAGTGAATGCCTTTAAAAATGCCATGTGCTGTGTCTAGCATTGATTTATTCAGAACAGTCTTGCATTTAGTATCCAGTATCAGAAGTCCTGAATACTTGGAGCGTAGCTTTAAAAAAATGTATTTGTGCACTTTTCTAAAATGCTTACATGGGGGCAAGGTTCTCATTACTTCATTTGTAACAGTTCCGTTCTCTTTGCATTCTGCACTTTATTACTCATACTGCCTTGACAGATCTATATTTTTTTTTTATATTTGTTCTTTGTACATTAAACAGAAAGTTAATTGTATTGACTTCCAACCATTGAATATACACACCCACAAACTTGCTATTAATAACCTGTCTTTGGATGTTTTTCTCTTTCTGAAGTTCTCCTGGATGTTGCCACCTTTTTCTGTTCCTGATAAACTTGTTTGTTGTTGACAAAACATCGTTCTTGTTCTGCTGCTGTTCAGAAAACCGGTGACTTTATTTAACGTACTTCAGAAGACCTAAGAAAGAGAATATATAAAGACAGCTGGTCACATAACAGCACTAAGATAGCCAGTGAAATCTAGAAACTGAATTTTTGTCTATATGTTGGAATATAAATCCTTGAACAACAACGATGACAGTGACAAAAATATAGAGAGGCTACGAGTTCATTCTGTTTCAGAATTTGTAAAACCTTCTTTATTGGACAAATCTGT